CTATTGCACTTTGTTGACTGAAAGATATGGGCACTGGTGAAGTGTGTATTTTGTTTCCTCTTCACACAGTATCAGCAAATTACGTTGCCGCAATGTGGGCACCAAAGGTTCGGTACGAACTGCATTTAGGATATGTATATTTCAAATGAGTTAGTGCTGGATGGCGGACAAGTAGTACAAGTATGAAGCATTTGGTAATAGGCCGACTAAATGAATAGTAAGGTGACTCATTAAAGTGTTTGCTCCAGTTGTTGATCCGTTTTCACATTGCTTTGAGCTTGATTTCGATTCAACATACGATACCTTCGAGTGTGCTCATTGATTTCTCTTTGATTTAAATACTTGTGGCTAATAGAGTATGTAACGAATAATCCTGACAAATACTGCGACATGCTGTAGTTACGATAAAACAAGTCGTCAAACAATTAAACATTAATTTACTGAAGGCTATTTCGAACGAGAAAAAAATAGGAGAATTCAGAAAGGATTTCGTTTTCCTGTTGGTAGAGTAGGTAATGCACATATCCACTAATATAAAAACAGTCATAATTAATAAGAAATAGTAGGTAAGATCAAAATAAGACTAAAAAAGAATAAATGAATTGGTTTTTTCTGGTGCTAGAATAACCCGTGTGGGCTTGACGTTGTGCCATATATCAAAGCTTAGAAGATATGAAAAATACAAAGATCAAAACAGTGATTGAGCAGTAATCATGAAAAATTGATAGACAATGATTTGTGATCTGGTGCAAGTCCAGAAAATGTATTAAAAATGATGAAATTTCGCCTTATTTTCTTACGCTCAAAGATGCGTATGACCTACCCTCTTGTTGTACTGCCCATTCCAAATTTTGACATACAACTCACTTTCAAGGGGGCAATAGTCTGAGTCACAAGGTCCGCCAGTGGTTCTTCAAGGTGATTCAGTTATTCGAATTCATCACTTCATTCTAGTAGACATTCTGTAATTATTACTGGAAAATAAGTCGAGGGTATTGGTTCAGTTTTAGGGAAGGGGGTGTGACAAGTTTTCTACGCCACATGCATACCTACCGTTGCTCAGTTAGGTTATTCGAGAAACTCAGATCAAAGTGTTAGTCATATTTTGAGCTGCTAAATAACTCAATAAATATTTGTTTGGAAAGAAATCAATCGTTGTTACACACCATAAAAATCAAAGTTTATTTACGATCCTTGGAAGTCCTTAACGCGTTCTTCCTCTGTTATGGTTTGACGGTGGAGCATTACGCTATGTTCTTGTAATTTTATGGTCCAACACAGAGGGGTCAAATGAATTCGAAATGCGGACCACATATTTCGACAGTTATTCAAAGACAAACCTGCTGATACTTAAAATTGTCTTATTGATTCAACATTTGTTGGTATGCCGTCCAGATCTTGTTAGAGAAACTCGTCAAAACTTTGGGTGTACACTGAGCGCTATGTGAGGAGGTTTTAGTAGTAACCTGTAACGCATCTTTCTTATCTATTTTGCCAGGCGGTATGAATTATCTACTACTCATGATATTGTTTTCCGTTCAAATGTTCGTGTTGTTACTCCACCTTTGTTACCTAAGTTTGTGCTGGACTATCTCTACAGCAAACACTTGAATGTTAAAAAAGTAAAATTTTAGACAAAGGTCAAATGTTGGTAACCAGAGACATGTCGCACAGGAAGCAATTATGAAAAATATGATCTTTCCATATGAACTGAATGATAAGGACATCATACACCTTATTTTGGTTCATTTACTGGCCAAGGTTATGCACTTGTTTTCAAATTGTTCCCTTTTGTGTCGCTGTAAGTATGCATTACATTTACTTCAAGCCATTTAGACTTAACAATTATTTGAACCGTCCTTAACATTCTCCACAAAACCCATCATAGTTGTCACTGATATGAGTATTTGGGTTTATAAATTGAGCTAGCGTATTAGTTGTCTAAAATGACGTTTAACATAGTTAAGATGAGAAAGTCGCCGCATTAAGATAGCATCGTAATACGATTGGTGAAACTGACGAAACTTTTAACAAAATCGGTCAACAAATTGACTTTAATTATCATCAAGTAGTGTTGTTTTCTCGTGGTCATTTTTATTTATTACACAAGGTTTCAGTATGCTTCTCTATCAGTTATTCAGTAAATATCTTAAAATCTTGTCAGTCTAATTGGAGGTGTAGCGACACAACTATGCATGCCAAATTATCGATTTAAGCAGTCAAGGAAGTCTCCTGAAAACTGGAGACACTGTCGAATTTACCCCAAACACTGACTAAGGTTCAAGCCATTATCATAGACATGAGTTGGGAGTTGCACTCCTCTTGGTTACGACTTATGCTCTCCCTGATAATCACATGGGTATCACTCACTGTTTATCGTTTTGTAAAGATTTATTTAACCGAAAGTGTCTTACAACACCATATCACGTATATTTGTGGCACATAAGCTTAGTTGATTTCAAAACCTTACAATCACTCAAGGTCATACAGATCTCTGTATTATTTCGATTTTGATACTTGCTACTGACTTGTATACACTACCAACCAGTATGTATGAATAGAAATAATTGATCCATCGCACACCAAAGTTTTGAATCTAGAACATGGCTCTCGTAGATCCACGCATGGTTAACGAATTACTGTTAGCCATCTGTTCAAAATTCTCGTAACTATCACTATTTTCACGTATTAGAAGGGTTATTGATAACAATTCATATGTATCAGTAGTACTAATAAATCCTATCACGGTTAAGCAATAATAAGGTCGAGAAAATCTCCCCATAGCTAAATAAAGCGCACTAAACCCAACAAACTAACTGGGACAATAATTGAAATTCTTCCTCTTCACCTTTGTACTTCTGTTCTTTCAGTTAGTTTACTGAAGCAGATACAGAGGGAAACAACTCATACGGGCAGCATTATAGCATAAACATCAACTGAATTTCTAATACAAACCAAGGATAATAATATTAACAACATTAAAAAAATTTTGATTGTTTTTCCTATTTATGCGCACAAAATACTTGAACTACCTATATGTTAAGCTCTTAACCAACTGTGATTACTATACATCATAACGTGACTTGTTAAAACATCTCTGTATCAAGCCATTCTCCATTATGATAATCCCACTTTGTTTGGCGCTCAAATAATTTTCACGAAGATTTTTATTTTGCGCGCGTTAATAATTAAATCGGACATATTTGAAAATACTGCGTGTAAGGTAATCAAACTTCCCTCGCTTGTTTGTCCGTTAATGGCCCTGTGACCATCACCATATAGATGATCCAATAGTTTGGTTGCTAAACTGGGATAGTCAGGACTGTTTAATATGTTTTAGGTCATAGCAGGCCCACCTCTGCCATTTCTTTAGCCTAAGGGAAGCAGCCTCATATCTCTCAGCCGGAACTCTGGGTCCAGAGTGTCTTCAGTTTTCATGGGTTCTGCTTATCATGGTATAGAACATCCGGTCTTCCAGGCAGTAGGGGAGCTAGGTTGTCTATAAGATTCTTTATATGCTTTCTTACATCGTTTCCACGGAAAGCACAGAGCCCCGAATTAGTCTAACTATATTCCTATATGCATTTTAAATATCTTTCTGCACTGACGCACATAAGAATGATAACTTTCAGCCTGCTCACTACCCTTTCAACTAGTTACCCATAAAGAGCAAATACATCTGACATCCTTGACTTAGCTAACAAAAATGAAAGTTGATTTTAACATGAAAGTTACATTCATACTAAATATACTCCATTAAACCGGAGGGAAAATCAGAAACTCCAGTAATGTAATAAAGCTGGACAGTCAGTGGCCTAAACAACTGTGGTGTGAGACGTTTTGGCATTTATAAACCCTTTATTTTCTTACGCTAGCAACTTTACCTCTTGAGAGGCTCCACAGTTAGATATGAGTCCCATTCTGATTATCCTCTACGAGACCACTCTAACTTGCAAACTGTTGATAATAGAGACAGGACTGGGCCGATGATTAACGTCCTGCATAACCAAACAGTTCTCCTGTTTAAACTTCTGTTAAACCCGAGCACTCATTCTATAATTTAAGTGAATCGTCAGGTCAGGACTTATAACATTCTTTTCACTTTTTGTTCTATATACACTTTTCTGCACGCACATATTTAGCTTTACCCTAGAAGTGAACAAACGAGCGACTAGTCGTTAAATCTCTTCAGACTTTAAAACATCACTTTACCGAACTTCATGACCTCAGTACGTCAGATCAAAAAGTTCTTGATAAAAACTTCATTCTTTTGCTTGCATCATCAGTAGCAATGTGTACAAATATTTTGATGGAATGGTTTTGAACACATATCAGAAATTGCAACGCATTCAGGGAGATTGATGTTCATTCAGTCATTATTTCATGATGCTTTGGCTATGATTGCTGTTAAAGTTTAATGAGTGAACAAGGATAAAGTAGGAAGATTTCTGAAAGATAAATTATAACTACTATCGTTTTAAAGGATTTCAACATCTATATAGAAATTTTTTTAAATACCATAATGTCTCATTCACATTTGTAAATTCACATTACCAATATTTTTGTGCGATATCAAAGGTTAGCATAGTGATTTTGCATACTGACTAGAGGCTAATCATTTCAGTTTATATTATACTTTATATCAAGTATCATAAGTTTTATAAACTATTTGTAACGTTTGAAATACAGCTGGTGTCGTAACTTATCGGTATAAAAGACAATACTTATTAGTTTGATGTAGTGTGTGCTGGATTCGAGTTTCAGCAGATAAACTCATTAACATACAATTAATTTCAGCTTTCAAGTCCAAAAAAGTATGAACTGATCATTCTAGACTACATTACCACGGAACAATAAATGCAAGCTGATGTCTTGTATTTATGAGCATATATTTGTGTAGATGTATTTTAATATATATTCATGCGGACTGAGCTACAAAAAATATACTCCTGGAAACAATCAAAATGAAGTTGAACATTAGTGATGGTAGAAATAAATTTTCATTCAGACGAATTTTCTTTAAGCATTGCAACAAACTCTGAAGAATGAATTTAGAGACAAACACAAATAGTTAGTAACAGAAACAATAAAATCCAGCTTCAGCTATTAACAATACTCGGAGTGAGCTTACATTGTACTCTGTTTTATATTTAAATAGCTTAGTATTATGGCGTTTAAAATGCATATATTACTCCATATTGAAAAAAGCCCTTTTTAACGTTCCGCCTTGTTAAGGGAAGTAGAAAACCGTTAAAAATACGAAGAGGTTTTACTGTTAAAAACAAATATTACTGGTACCAAGCTGATGGAATCATCTGTCCTCAACTACCGTCAGAGATCTACCAGGATTATTGAAGTTGTGATGCCACACTCACCTCTGCCAAATTTCTGGAGCCATTCCACAAAACTCCTTTGTCTGCACTATTACGTTATGGAGATGTTGGAAAATGTAAGATAGTACAAAAAATCATCTGGGTAATTCATCATTGAGTTATATAAATCTAAGTGACTAACTATACACGATATTTAGAAAGAATAAAGTTCTTCGAAGGTTTGGGAATTCGGTTTTCAATTAACTGTTGAAAACCCAGGTGTTAGACGAATCATCAACTTAATACAGATTACCTTTAAATACCGATTTATTTCGGTTTACTATCAAACTATAATGATAGCTAGTCATTCATATATTTTGTCACAACTGTGATTATATGGATAGTGATATGTCGGAGAAAGCAAAATTTAATTGGTCAATGAGTGAAGGTGGATATATTCATTTAAACTAAATAAAAGGCACTCTGATTTGACATAATTCACTTAGATTTCCTCTGTGTTAACTGCTTATAATTTCTGTCAATAAATCATGGTTTTGGCACACAATCTCGTTATCAGTCATTGATTGTATTTTAAGTATCTAAGTCTTAGTTATATTGTATAGTGATCTGTCTAATGATTCTACTACATATCTAGTATCAATTCCTATGGGTTGTACTGATTGTGTTATCTGGTATTTAATACATAATCTCCGAAAAGGTGAGATCGTTAGAGAAAATATCAATTTCTTTCATTACTTCAGATAGGAACAATAACAAGTATTGACATAAGAGCTTATGGGAAAGCAATAAACTTTTAAACATTTGTACTTCATCTGACCTTCATATGTAACTTTTCCATCCCCATCTTGATCAGCTTCAGAGAGCATTTCTTGAACCTCTGTTTCTAAAATCCCGAACGAAAGAGATTAATAAACAAAATCATCTAAATTAAAACGATTAGTTTTTATGTGTTCAGATTGGTTCATTTCGAAAATAGATCTTATTACTAAGTTATTTCACTAGTCAATTAATTAGAAATTGAATAGTAATGGACAAAAGTGTTGGATATTATTTTATGGTGCTGTGAGATCTGTGACTCGTTAGGAAGAATCTCATATAGAGTCGTAGTCATGTGATATAGTAAAGAATAAATTAGGCCTGATAAAATGTCTCACAATAATTTGTTTGTGAATGACCTAAAAACATGCTTAATTTTTTTAACTGCCTGTATATAAATAAGTTATTTTATTAACAAAAAAACGGTTCTCTCTACTGATCGGCTGTTCTGGCTTTTGAAACGAGTTATTTGATGGGGGGATCTCTTACAACAGTGTGGATTGCTGAGTAATATCTGATAACAACTTTATTCAATACGATAAATTTTGATATGGTAGGAAACTCTCATCATCATCATCATCATCATCATCATCATCATCATCATCATCATCATCATCATCATCATCATCATCATCATCATCATCATCATCATCATCATCATCATCATCATCATCATCATCATCATCATCATCATCATCATCATCATCATCATCATCATCATCATCATCATCATCATCATCATCATCATCATCATCATCATTTGTGTTTGGCATAGGTTCTAATTTTAATTACTTGAAAGCATATTTCGTAAATGTTCTCAAATGTCTCCATCTGACACTCATATTCAGTCACGAAGGTTTTATTTTTCTAATTCAGTGGTCACAATTAGTTTTTGTTATATCTTGGATAAATATATTTGCTCTTAAGTTAATTGTAACGATTATGAATATTATAGTTTCACAGTATTTGGGTGCCGAGTTGATGTAAGACATTAAAGAGGAATAGTGTTGTATTTGTAAAATCTCAGCGAAATATTTGAAGTAAATCCAACGCTTTTTCAAGGAAATATCGTTGAAAAAGCTTGGACCAGATTTCCAGATGAAATGTTGGATTTACTTCAAATTCTTTCGCTGAGATTTTACAAATACAACATTCTTCCCCTTTAATTATGAATACTGAATAATGAATATACTACTATATTCAAATAATTCAGTATAATAGTAAGCTCTTTTTTATAACACAATTTTAGATTGAATGAACTTGAGTAAAATGTTTTTATAATCGATTGATCACTGGGTAACGATCAATGTCATGTTTGTCAGGTGGAATCCTATTGACCGAGTTGAAATTTGGCCACTAGTCTAGGTGAATGGACATCGCGTGCACTGTGTTGAGATGAGATGGTGGTTGGAGGTAGTCGACAAGAAATCTTTTTTAGAAAAAAATTGATCATTATATTACACATTACTTTTCTTTGAAGAAAAGATGCATAAAAATAATCTGTTACATCAACCTACCGGAACAATTGTGTCCAACTCGAGTCATTACTTGACGTAGTTCTGACGCTGTTATGTAACCATCATTATCCTGTAAATGTGAAATAAATTAAGTATGTATAATTCAGTTATAAGTTTCCTTCCGTCGTCAGTATTCATAACGGCAATTGATGAGTATCTTTTAAGTTATGTATACAACCTAGCTATTGCCATCAGTTAAAGGTATTTTTAAGAGGAGATGGATGGACGCTATCAGTAGAATCTAGAACATGTAATTCGTCTTATATGGGGCTCATTAGAGGGATGTAACTGTATCCTAGTGTTGATCCCTACTATGGAACCCAGCGGATAATGCATCTGGTGTTTGAAGTGAAAGGCACTGGGTTTGAGTACTGTATTAAGCCTTAACACAGCAGGATGAAAGTGTATCCAGCTGAAGAGGTTTGAATGGGAAAAAACGCTCCTTTTGGATTTCACTACTAGCCACTATCCATCTTTGCTTCAAAAAGTCACTTGTCCGTTTGGAAAAGAGCCAGATATTCGGTTACATCATATTATTTATCTTTTGATTGTTTTAAGAAAATGTTAAGAATTTTCTGAAACTAATTTTTATCACGATGAAGAAATTCAAAAGACTGGATTCATCAACAAATTCAGTATCTTTTGGTTTTTAAAACCTCTCCATTCTGCATTAAATGATGCCAAATAATATTTTATTAGTTAAAATTAACTTGATGAAGCGATTAGTGACAAAAGAAATACTAGAAATCCTGATATTTAGTTGTTACTAGTAGAGTTCATTCAAAGAAGGAGTAAGACAGTAATACGTTATTATATTAGATGGTTGTAGACGTATATCTAGTGACTGATGTTAGGACTATGAATCGGCGGATTCGATTATCATGTCTTGATGTTAAGCTCTCAGCACGACATCTATAGATCTGGGTCCGATCTCTGTTGTGGTCTTGGATACGAAAGCTGAAAGGTCATGCAATGTGAGCTAGTTCCTGTCGGGTAGAGACAGATATCTACCTCAGTGCAATGGAAGATGGTCGCGCCTTTTCTTGGATTGGTTGAGGTTAGATATTGACACCGTTGGATGTCGGCTCGGTGATCTAGACGTTAAGCATTCGTGCGCGAGGCAGAAGGCCCTGGATTCGAGTCCCGCGAGTCACACATTACGACGGAACGGCCATCCAGTTCTTGCAGGTTTTCAATGGTGGTCTAACATCAACTGGTTCATGATCTCAATCAAAGTATTTTAATTATTGTACTTGACGTGAGAGTAGAATATCCATTGACACAGTTATAAAATTATTATGATTTACCGTATCAAATACTTCAAATGCTTCACGTGTTGCTGAAACTTCTTCATGAGCATCACTTTCATTGGATAACAGACGAACAAATTCATCAAAAGCCATTTCACCATCACCTATATAAGTAAATGAAGAGAAAATTATATTGTTATAACCCGAAAAGTATATTCATATGAACAGACATTAGTGAAATCTTGAATAAAAAATTGTGCAGTTACAAATTACGAACATGTACATGTTATGAATTGTTTGTCTTTTCCATTCAGTTTATTGATTGGCACTTAATGGTCAACCATTCGAAGTGTTACTCTGTAGTTTATGGTATTTAGCATAAAATGTTTTAAAAATAAATCGATAGCATTTCACAGATTTGTTAGTTGCCATGGGGATAAAGTTTATTTTAAAAAATACCTAGAAATTATAAAGATATGAGTTTATTTAATTACCGATCGACTAATGATCAATGAACGCTGAATAGTTGTTTAGATAGCTAGTTTTTATTTAAGGCCTTACTATGTAAAGTATTAGGAGAGTTGAATGGTTTGTATTCCGTGTTTAAGCTACGCGGCTAATAAGGCGTATGTGTAGGTGAATAAGTGGATCATTTGGTTAGCTAAGGTAATAACACATTTTTTAAAGGAGGTATTTCAGTCAATCCGGTTCTAATATTGAGAATGAAGTGCCAAAATTCAACCACATATTTCTGTCAATTTGGTAACTCATAGATACACATGAGTAATAAATACTATTGCTCAGTATTTTTCACATGATTCTCATTCAGCCTTGATCTTCTCTTTCTACTTTATTGGTTGATCAAGCTTTAGGAATAGGAGTAGTAACTTAATCAAACGTCAGAACGTAAGACTATTTACTTAATCTCATCAACAGGAGTCAGTTCGTCATTAAAATCTCTTCAAATTATACAAGTCTCTCTGTAGGACACTAGTAAATTGTTAGAAGTAATTCATTCAGAACCGTTAATGTCAGACAATCACAATCGTAGTCACTGAGAGGATATCATATTACTATTTCTGAAAACTATTATTGGTACACATCAATACAAACAGTGAAGCATTTTATTGTCAGGCTTATTGATAGTATTAAAAATAGAGGTGTATAGTTCAATTCATTTTTGATGGAGTTTTCTTCTGTGAGCTGGATGTTTTGGTAAAAACTCCATCAAAATCATCCACCTGAGCTACAAATCTTCACCATCTCATAGTTCAATTCAACTAATTAACTCCTTTTATTTTTTTAAAACGACGAATTACAGTTTACTTACCATTCATATCTGCTTTATTCATTAACAATTTAATTTGATTATCCGTATATTCCGAACTGACAAGACGTATCAACGTACTAAATTCTTGTCTGCTCACTGTGCCGTCATTGTCTCGATCAATAAATCGAAATATTTCTCGTAATTCTGTAAAATATCAGTAGTAATATGAATGAGATGAATCGAAAGTATTGAATAAGTTAAGTGTTATGAGAGGGCCCCCAAATGCCTTGGTACGACAGAGAGTGGGGCGAGTCAGCTCTCTCTCTCCAAATGCTCACATATGCTTCAAAAGATTTGAATATGATTATCAGATTATTGTATATCAATGTCATTTAGTTTCTTTGTTGAATAACGATTCCAATAATTGAGATCATGAGTAAATTGAAGCTAGACTACCATAGAAAACCTGGAAGCACTGAATGACCGTTTCGTCCTATTGTGGGGCTCCTCAACAGTGCGCATCATCGATCCCGCCTCTCGAGATTCGAACCCAGGATCTATCGGTCTCGCAAACGAACGCTTAACCCTTAGACCACTGAGCCAGAATTCAAAGGTGTTAATGTCTAACTTCAACTAATCCACGAAATTGAGCACTACTGAGGAGTCCTCCAGTGCTTCCAGGTTTTGCATGGTGGTCTAGCTTCTGAACTATTGAAATTATTATAATATCCACAAAATCCCCTTCTGAATAACAATTATTCATAGAAATACTGGAAGTTAATTACAACCTGATAAAATATTCAGAGGTGAACAAATGTACATTCATATCGATGTGATGTTTTATGATGAGAACCAAATGCGGAACTCAATAAATTAATCAGTGTTGCATAACATCTACTTCAGTTTAGTATTTGAGACACATCTGTTAATTTATGGAATTAGTGGGAAGTATAACCTTTTCAAGATTACTAGCATTATCAGAGTTCGTTAATTTTATTACTATGCCGACAATTTATTAGTCAGTAGTCTTTAGATCCGAAATTACCCAATAATTATACAGAATTGTTCGTTGTTCCTTAAACTGAGAGTTATCTCAAATAGTTTGCTACCAGAAACTTTTGATTTAGTTCCACCGTGAGGAAATCGTAAAACAGTTAATTGTTTTAACAGATATTATTCTGCTTTTAATATCACACTACTGTTAATCATGTAAGTAATATGAAATGATGAAAGCAAACAACTCACCACTAATTCTTTTTCTAGTTACATGACAATCTTTCTGTTGAAATAAAATAAAGATATAAAAACACCCAATCATTAATGCTTTTAAAGTTAAAAATAGTTCTGAAAAAGCTTGATAAGATGAGATGTCATTCTAGAATAATAAAGAGAACGAAATCTCCTGATACTGTATTACTATTCCGCGATCAAATGTGAGCAATTGGAAGCTTGTTTATTTATTTATTTTATTTATCTGAACACATAAATATTGGTACAAGAGGGCACCAAACATATATGCGCCACACAAAATTTTATTTGTGTGTGGGCTGTGATAGTACCTGGGTGCCCAGACTGAAGCAGGTGGTTTTCTTAGGGGGCCACACCCCGAGCCTTTGACCTAAAGGTTTGATCCACAAGGCAGTGAAGCATCGTGAGAAGATGCAGTCCCAAGATAGCCGGTGACCAACGATTGGTTCACACGCCATTTGTTCCTTCAGGATACTGGAGCCTATGTGCACCATTGGTTTGGGATCCGGTTAAAGCGCCGGACATTCGCTTTTCGTCCTCTCATTTTCGTAGACAACAGCCCCACCATGAGAAGGCAGTTAGTAGGAGTTCCCTGGCAGGGGCTGTATACGCGTGGCCGTGTGAGAGCATTTCAAGAGGGAGGGCGGGCCCACCCCTTTCTCGGCCATACCAGGGCATTTGGGGGCATTGGAAACTTGTATATGCTAAGTACATAGAATTGATGGTACTGAATAGCTTTAAGCAACTTGGATGAAACTACTTATTCAGTCTTATATTAATATTTATGATGAGAATTTTCTCTAAATCAACCGAATTATTATAAACTTATCAGTTGGATGATATTCTACATTATATGTTGTGGATACCTACTTCATTGTTAATAAACAGAAAATGAAGTCAACTTTTTGTAAACAATTTAAGTTGTAATAATGAATCGATTGAAGTTAGACATCAACACTGTTCGATACCGTCTAGAGATTAATTATTCGCGCGCTAGACCAAAGTTCCTGGGTTTGAGTCATGCATGAGGGATCGTGGATGAGCACTGCTGAGAAGTCCTACAATAGGATGAAGCGGTTATCCAGTGCTTCCAGGTTCTCAATAGTGATTTAGCTTATATTAACTCATGAATTCAACCATCATAATGAGTTATGACATATTCAACAAGACATTGGTTCTAGAACAATCTATATTTTCACACACAAAAAATGCGTACACTTTTCACTTTATCTAAAACTTATAAATTAAATAGCTTTATGAATTGGTAATTACTATTTTTACACTGAATAAGGTTTCCATTCTACATTTGAAACTTTAAATATTTTCCCTGAAAAAAATTCGAATTTCATACATCCTATTGGTGAATTAAACTTCACCTGTGACTCTTCTCGAGTTACTACCAGTCGCAAGCCCGGATAAATGAGGAGGGTTGGGCATAAGATCAGCAACCCTATCCTATAGAAAAGAAATCTTATTAAACAAAAGTAATTGATAAATTAATAATCTTTTCTTATATATTATTCATTAAAGTTTTACACTTAACATAAATGCGTGATTATTAGTAGTATAATCAATAATATATTAGAATCAATGTAGATATCATCATTTAGTGGTAATAATTATTATTCAATATTCATTGTTTATTCATTAAAACTAGAACAGTAAACAAGAAATTTTGAAGGTATACATAATAGACATAAAAGAATAAACAAGAAAGAGAGTATATGTTTAAGTGAATGAATGACTGAATGACTAAATGAATGAGTGAATGACAGATAACGAGTAATAACCAAACTGTATAATTTAACTTATATACTCCTTAAATATTAAATCTTTAAAATAAATTATAAATCTATTATATTTACATTGTCAAAGTTACACCCAAATGAATGAAAGAGTTTTATTTTTAAAGAATAAAAAAAAAGAGAAGAGAAGAGAATCAAATTATAGAAAGAAAGAAAAACGAAAAGAAAAACAACGAAAAAAAAATACAATGAAAGTCAATTTATTTTCTCTAATTTTATTTATAGAAAAAAAAACTTATAAATTACATGTACTTTTATTTCATTTGAAAAATAAATAGATAAATAATTAAAACAAGGAGGAAAAAGGTAAAATGTTTATTTTTGTTTTTGGGTGGGTGAGTGGGTGATAGGGGTGGGGGGCGTTAGGTGAGAACAAGGCTAAAATTGATTCTTTGTTATGATAAATAGAAAAAAATAAAGTATTCAAGTTATGAGCTAACTAAGTATAGCATGAAAAAGTTAAACAGAAAGAAAATAGTTTTTATGGGGGGGGGGGAGGAAAAATGCTTCTTAAAATAAATAATTTAGATGAAGAATTTATGCACAATTGAATCTATAATAATTTATTATTTCAAATCCGAACTTCGTGTACAAGAAAATATCACGTCCACTCCCTTACTTTTCTATGCTAATTATTATTCGCTTCTTTTTCTTCTTCTTCTTCCTTATTTAGTAGACAGCCTCTTTAGCTTGTAACTTATGACTCCAAAAACTATTACGAAACGTTAGCTCTTGATGATTTTTGATCAATTTAATAGTTGATTTTGAGTCAATTGAAGCTAGACCACCGTAGGAAACTTGAAAGCATTGGGTAGCCGTTTCATCCTAGTATGGGACTCAACAATAGTACGTGTCCACAATCCTGTACGCAAGATTCGAATGCAGAACCTTCGGTCTCATGCAAACGCTTAACCTCCAAATCATTGAGCCGGTATCCATCGGTGTTAATCTCTAACTTCACCAATCCATAATATTGCGTGACCATCTTCCAATATCTTCAGTGGGTAACTGCCTCACACCTGACACCGTTCAATCCCACTGGTTACGGCTTCTCACTAGAAATCTGAGAATTCTGTCTTGAAGCCAGTCACTAGTGAGCAAGTGATAATTGTCGGTCGGGAGTTGTGTAGATTGTTAGATACGGTTGCTTGTAGTTGTATAATTTTTCAGTAATTTTCATAACCTCAAGTTGAATATTATAATCTTACTTAGTCGAGGAAAAGTATTGACGCTTTTTTTAACAGACTAATGAGGTTAATAGTGAATTATCTTGTTAAAGGTAAATGATATTTTAATTTTAGGGTACTAGGTGGTTGATGTTGGTCAACAGCAAACCCTACTTGACCTAGGTTTCGTGTTATTCAACACTCATTTTCAAGACCCATCTATAATCTTGAGGAAAATGGTACTCCAGGATTTCGCAGAGACTACGTTCAACCACTTATTATGTAAGCAGAGCGCAAATGATTTCTAATTATTTAGACAAATGACTACACTTTAACTTGATCGGTATCAGTACTAAAAAATAGACTAGTATGGCGATCTTTACTACACAACAATCAGTCAACTGTAAATTCAGGAGTTTATGAACATCTAAGTAATGTCCTGAATTTTTTTGAAACTTTATCTCCAATAATGTGTAGATATATCCTTCGTTTTCCAATCAGTCAAAATCTAGTTGGATTACTCTCTTACAACTTAGATTAATCTACAGAATGTATATACATAGAATGCAATTATGTATAATCATCACCATCATTCATTGTTGCCTGGGTCAGCACTCATTTCACTCAGAATCTAACTCAATAAAAAGTCTTACCTACTCAATTAGAACTCTGTAATACCTAACAGGAATCAGGTTACTATTAAGCATTGAATTCATATGGATGAAATGTGTAGACAGTATATTTTTCTAGACTGACTTGCTAACAAGAAATCCTACGCTCATGCATCCAATCAAAAAGAGAGAACTTAGTAATTTGGTTATCTACGTTAGTAAAGTAGTTTAAACTATTGATTTTGTAAATTACATAATTATATTAAATTATCGATTGATCAGTGCCAACTATTTTCTAGTTCAAAGTAATCAAATTCGACTTATGACCAGAGAAAAAAATGACATCACTTCGTGTGTTTAGATATAAATCTTCATTTGTGGTCTTGTCTTCTCTCTTGCAATTGGGATGTATCTATCTCCGTTGAAATACAACAAGTAGCAAGCATCAGTTTCAAAGCAGATATAACAACTAGCTCCACCAGTGTTACTTAAATTATTATTATATTCTAGCTAATTGTTTGATTAGTGTATTATTATTACTGTAGTAGATTTAAGTAGTATGTAACATCAATCAGAAGTGGAATGTTTGTCAAAAGAAGATTGAACTGAAGAGAACAGAAAGGAATTGGAATAAAAACAGAATTAGAAGAATCATCAAGGAAGTAAGGGACAGTTTAAAGAAGGTGTACAAATAATGTATTAAATATATGATTTTCACAGTTTACTAAATCACTGTATGATTGTACAGTAAACAATAAATGGGTCTTTCCTTACCTGAGTGCTCGTTCACTACATTACTACATCTAGTTCTACAACTAATAACAATGATGATAAAACTCCGACTATTAATTCGAAAGGTTCGTTCGATACAATACATTTTTTTATTAACAGAGAAAAATATCAGAGAAAATTTACTTTATTATTTATCATCTTGATAAAGTTGTCTATCTTGAGATGTTAGATGGTCGAAGGAAGTCAGTAGGAAACTTTGGACAAGGGTTTCATGCTAGTTGACGCCTGTGCGTAAGGTAAATTTGTAACGTTGAGGGAAATGATGCTTTCTGTGGGAACTAAACTCATGTCGCACAGTTTCATATTTCGTGGTGTTACTACTGAAGTTTACGGGCCTCAATAGGTCTCCTCAGGTTACTCTCAAACTGCAAAGCGTGGTATTACGGGTTCTAACCCTCCGATAAGTACCAGTTCCTCCAACATTGAAGTTTTAACTTCCTGATTAATGTGGAATAGCATGAAACCGTGGTTCAGGATTTTCTGTCGACTATCTCCAACGAAATAAAGTCAAAACAAAGATCATGTGATGGTGAGTCACATGGATTAATGAATAAATTGTAATTTGATCAGTAGAATTCACTCAGTATTAGGGGATTAAGTAAACATAACATTAGTCACTATTCAGTGATGAGTAACTTTTAAAACTTGAGAAATCCGTTAAGTTCAGCCATGTATATGTGTAAGTGAAAGTGTAATATACATACAAATAAGGAAAGTTTTTTAGTATTTTTTATCGTAGATACAGTAAATTAACTAATTGTCCATAAGTTAATCAAATGAAGACTAGGCACATTATTCAATAATTCGAAAAATGTAACTAATCGAAAGTTACTTTTTATGAAATCTTTAGACCATCAAATCGATTTCAAAAATATCAAAATATTACAAAATGGTTTTCCAATTACAAAGAAAGGAAAGTAGCTGAATCGTTCCATATAATGCTTTATCCTAGCGCTCTCAATAGGAAAGAAGGCCTTAACATACATCCTAATCGGACTATCTATCCTAGCCACCTAGTCTGATATTATTCACAATTCATACTATTATCTTACAAATTGAACTCTATCCTTTCTTATCATAAAGGTCACCCATATTTCATCCATAACAGTGGACACATGCATACACACAGATTTACATAAATGTCACTTATGAAACACTTTGACTGAAATGACATGATATTGACTTATTCAGATCTGTTTTTTGATTGATCGCACAGAATATTCTTACGTTGTTCCTTTGTATTATTCAAACTTAGATTAATTTTAATTTGGTTATTTATTTATTCTCTGAAGAAGTAGTTTACATTAAATTACGAAACATCAGAAAATCTAAATTTTTCTACTCATTGAAATATTACAAATATGTTAGTTTTATTTATAACAATCTACCCACTCGAAATTGTTAAGTCAAACCTTGGTAATGATACCTAAGAAATATCTTTAAATTACTAATTTACTATTTATATATCCACATTTCAAATTTTAATTTTATTTATGGCTTTCATTTAGATCACAGACCAATCTAAAGTTTGGTAAACATTACAAACCTATACACAAAAGAAAGTTGTTTCGTTATAGTAAGAGACTTCTTGGCAGTGCGCATCCATGGATTTTTCATCTCAGATCAAACATATCACTTTTAGTCCAGTATACGTTCAACACTAGGATAAACACAATTGTTCAGTGCTTCGAACTTTCCAGTGGTTGTCTAACTTGAATCAGTTCATGATTTAAACAATAAAAAAGAATCCATCAGTCTCTACAACTTCCATATTGATATTCTATGGCAGTTTTTTGACTCATGTCAGTTCATAATAAAAATCAATCTCAAAATGGAATAAATTTCGTAAACATCTAAATTGGTTATATTATATTCAATGAATCTCACTAAAGCAAAACACACTATATGAAGATAATAATTATAATCATATGAATTACTGTATAAAATTAAATTCTTTACTTACCATTAATTTTTCATCATCATCACTAGTTTCCACACACGTTTTACTTCCTCTTGGACTACTCATCTATTGTGGAATAAAATATGAAACAGAATCGACAAAATGATTCTTACATTAATTTTTTGTTATGATTTTCACACAGTCTAATTAATTCTTTGACAAGGAATTATGATGATGATGATGGTGAATTATCCACATTAGAGATGAGATATTGAACATAGAATTGAGTTCGAATAAATTCAATTCAGAATATAAATGTGCGTGTGTATCCATAGTGATGTGTGGGAGTAATATATTTATTGGCAATATCGTAAATGAATGAATTTGATTGGTCAATTCGATGTTAGATCATGATGGGCAATTATTCATACTGTGTCTATCTATCTTCTAAACGAAGAGAAGAGGAAGACCAAAGAACACATTACGCCGTGAAATGGAGATAGACATGAGGAAAATGAACAAGAACTGGATGGAACTGGAAAAGAAGGCCCAGGACGGAGTGGGTTGGAGAATGCTGGTCGGCGGCCTATGCTCCATTGGGAGTAACAGGAGTAAGTAAGTAAGTGTCTATCTATCTATCTATCTATCTATCTATCTATCTATCTATCTATCTATCTATCTATCTATCTATCTATCTATCTATCTATCTATCTATCTATCTATCTATCTATCTATCTATCTATCTATCTATCTATCTATCTATCTATCTATCTATCTATCTATCTATCTATCTATCTATCTATCTATCTATCTATCTATCTATCTATCTATCTATCTATCTATCTATCTATCTATCTATCTATCTATCTATCTATCTATCTATCTATCTACCTATATTGATTATTCATTATATGGCTACAATGATATATGCAAATAATTAACATCATAACTTATTACTTGAATTTATATTCAATGAATTTGGAGTAAATTCGACAGTTCGAATTAGAAACATTTCGAAATCAGTATTCAACCTTAAATCAAGGTTAAATACATGAATAAAGTTAACTTATTCAAATAGATTATATAAAAGGTAAACAAATGAACTTATTATCTCATGTCCGTTATTATTTCATTTTTATCATAATTATAAAGTGATGACGCCCATAAATAAATATTTTTGAAGAGAAAATGTAATGAATCAATTCAGTAGTTGCCTTACAAGTAGTTAGGAAAAATAAATCTCAGATTAAATTCATTCTGTGTTATCATTTGTTTTTGTTTTTGGTATGCTCTGAATCAGACACCTTCTACACCTACTACTCCATTTATAAAACACCCTTTGTGGTTATTTGAATATGAAATAAACTTTTTAAGGGAATTCAGTTAGATAGTAGGAAATGAACAGACTATATTTATAATAATAATAATCTGTAGATTGGAATAAATTTTCAGTTCAGTAGTTGAGATCATAAGTCAATTGAAACTAAACCGGGAAGAACTGGACGGCCGTTTCGTTCTATTATCGGACTTCTCAGCAGTGCGCATCCATCATACTGCCTCGTGAGATTCGAACTCAGAATCTATCGGTCTCGCGCCCAGACGCTTAACCACTAGACCACTGAGCCGGAATCCAATAGTGTTAAAGTCTAACTTCACCCAGTTCATGAAATTGAGCGACACATACGCCATTGTCATCAATGAGTTACTGTCTCACAACAGACCTGGTTGAACTCTACTGATCACTGCTTCTCACTAGAACTCTAGATTATACCTCTTGAAGCCAGTCACTAGTGAGCATATGCTGATTAATATCAAAAGGGTTTTTTTTTCATTTGTTTACTTTTTTTTAAATATACGTAATACCAATCTATTTCTATTGTAACCATAGTAACATATTCAGAAATAGGGTTTCCATTAAATGTATAATACAGAATAATGAATCTTTTTCAAAATAAATTCTAAATTATTTCAAGTGAATATATTCGATCGTTTATATATGTGATGCAAAAAAACTGATTAATATAGATTAGTTTATATGAAATTCCTATAGAATATTGTAGAGTAATTAAGATAAAAAAAGGGTAAATTGAAAATTACTAAATGAATGACAGATTATTGAACATTTTATACAAAAATCAATAATTATAGAAGGAAATATATATATATATATATATATATATATATATATATATATATATAAGTAAAGATAAATGGTGGCTAACAGTGGAATCCAGGATGTGCGTTTCGTCCTATTTGGGACTCGTTGACTAGATGTACCTACACCTCAAAGTTGATGTCAACTCTGGGATTGTAATCCAGTACCGTTCGCTTCAAACGCCATCGCATTATTCATTTAGCTATTGAGCCTTGACAGCCACTTGCTTGTGCAACGGAGTGAAGTTTACTTGTTTACTTGCATATAATGCCAGTGAATTAAGGTAATATCGATGAAATACGCACAGTATGCACATATATCAATAAGAGACTGATCAATTGCAGTCCTATAAATCAATCGGAAGATTCAAGTGAAAAACATCAAGTGAATTTATATATCTTTAAATTAAAACACAATTCAAATAATTCATATAATTATGATAGTGATAATGATAATGACAATAACATTCATTGTAATAAGATAGTGGTTGGAAGTAGTCAACATGAAACTGTGAACCTAGGTTTCGTGGTACTTAGCACTCATCAGCAAAGTGTACCTGTAATTTTCAAGGAACTAATGCTCCCTGATGGATTTAATCTCGTGTCACCCAGCTTTACAGTCAGAGACCTTACCACTGAGCTGGGTGACATGGGTTCGAATCCGTCAGGGAGCATCAGTTTCCTCAAAATTACAGGTACACCTTGCTGACGAGTGCTAAGTACCACGAAACCTAGGTTCAGGGTTCCCTGTTGACTACCTTCAACAACCATCTCATCTCAACATAGTGCACGCAATGTCGAGTCACCTAGACTAGTGGCCACATTGCAACTTGATCGATAGTATTCGATCTACACTAACAAGGACCTGACATAGGACATTGATAACAACCAAGTAATCAATTAATTGCAAGTTCATTATAATATTTTACACAGGTTACTTAAAGTGTTCAGCAGTTCAGAGGATTGGTTCATTTTCGAGTATTGCTGTTAGGATGTTTTTATAGAATATGAAAAATGTTGTCAGCATAAAATTTAATTTATTCTGACAAATAATTTAAGTAATGTTGCTGTGTCTACTAGCAGTATTTAACAATGATCATTTACCCATGGGAAACTCACTCATTCCTAGTCTACCAATCAAAACACTAAGAAAGCCAGCGAAAAGATTATGCTTTCATGTGAGTTTTTAAGCCTCAAGAAAGTATAGGAGACTTAGTGATCTGTATTAGTTATGGGAATAGAGGTCTCTCAGTAGACCCAACTTTCTTTTGAAAGGGTTGAAAGATGGAGCTTCAGTCATGTGATGAAATAATGAATTTCATTTGTTGACGATTCAACCGAAAGTCAATAGTCAGCTGACAAGTAGTTTGTTTTGGGTTTGTGAACATTTTTGAAGTGTCGTCGTAAATTCTTGGTTTCAGAAGACAAAACAATGAGGGCATATCAGATCTACATTTATCACTAAGTAATTTAAGACTGTAATCAAGTCGCCTCCGGTTCTTCTATATGAAAATGGAATTAGATTTAATTTAACCAGTCTTTCATCAAATGGATGATTTGCTGTCCTGTGAATCAGATACGTAGCGTTTCTTTGGACCTTTTCAAACACCTCACCGTCTTTTTTAGACATGGACTAGTTGGTTGTATGCAATACAAACACAGCATACAAAGTCAAAAAGGTTTTAGCATCGACATAGCTAAAAACTTCACGTATTGAATAGAGGCTCCCAAAACCTTTGGCGGCTATCGCACGGCATTGTACAATAAATTTCAAGTATTTACAAACGACGACTCTTAGTTCAATGTGCATTTGGTTAAAAGGTAGCTCAGTGTTATTCATGGTGTATGTATCTGTATCTTGGTGACTAATATACATCATAGAGTTAGACGGTGGTTGGAGGTAGTCGACAGGAAACCCTGTACCCGGGTTTCGTGCTAGTTGGCACTCGTCAGCAAGGTGTACCTGTAATCTTTGAGGGAACTGGTGCTCCCTGGCAGAGACGTTACCACTGAGCTATCCGGGCCGCGACCGACCTCCTGTAGGACTGAGATGTAATCACAATTGATTGATCACTGGGTGACTAATGTCATGCGTGTCTAGTCCTTATTATTAGTGCTATCGATCATGTTGCAATGTGGCCACCAGTCTAGGTGACTCGACATTGCGGGCACTATTGTAAGATTAGATCTAATCTTGGTCATCCAGTGATCAATCAATTGTCAATACATCATAGGGTACTAGGAAGCATTGGTCGGCAATTGACAAATTCTAGACCACTCAGGTAATTTCTCCAGACCATTTTTTAATCCATGAGAAAGCATCTTCATTTTACGTCGCTCCACACAACAAAACCGATGATGATAGGAGATTAGGAAAATCATTTAAAAACTTGCCCTCAAAAACTGTGCACTCCGCAAAGCACAGTTTCCCAGCTAGAAAACTTTTAGTTCACTCGTATCTTTTGTTAACGTTCAACTAGGAAGTCCTTTATTCACATTAATGAACTGCCTTCCTACCCGATATTACTGAACTTATATAACAGCCGGTTGTGAGGAACTTTGTCGAAAGCCTTACTGAAGTGAATGTCGGCTACATTTATATGTAACTTTTGCTCTTTAAGAGAACACCGACTTTTACGGGCTGCTAATAAGTTTGTGATACATGAGTAACCTATTCTAAAGCCATGCTGCTTCTTAGAAAGAACACGGTTTTCGTCTAGATACTTAAACAATGCCTTCCGAATAATCTTTTCTAACATTTTAAAAACCACTCTGACTGGGTTTACAGGTCAATAGTCCTCATGTTTGTGTCTAATACATGTATTGAAGATAGGATTTACTATGGTATTCTTCCAGTCTTTTGGTAAACTACCTTGGATTACAGGTAGATTAAAATATATGCTTAAAGGATTTGTGTTTAAAGTGGCTAGTTCTTTTAGTAACCTTGGCTTCATTTCATCAAACCTATTTCG